AAGAATATTCACTTTAATTACTTTATTAATTAAAATATAAAATGGAAATCAGCGACAGTGACAGCCAGTCAATACACGAGTCAAGATGTGGAGATAGAAAAACGACAATAATTGAAGTTGCACCACATCAGATGGATAGGCGACCGCCGCCGCTGCTGCCGAACCACCACTTGGCCACTTGGCAGTTAACCAACCTGTCAGGCGTCTGGCATAATGCCCTGAAGGTGTTATTAAATACAAAATAAAAATAATATTTTCTAAAATAAATTAAAATTGTTGACTCTATAATCATTAACCAAGTCAGATAAGTCAGAGTGGATAAGAAAATTACCATCACGACAAAATTGTCGTTGCCAGTGTAAAAGAAGTTAAGTTCGAAATGTGTAGTAATAAAGGGAATATGGTTTATTTTGTGAGAAAATATGTGAAATTTGCCTTATATATCTCCCTTCGATTAAACCCCGTTTCAGGACATTTGGAGTACATCAACCGATTTATGTTTGTCCTTCTCTCCGTCTAATGTTTGTGCCCCATAAATGTAGAGAATGGTTGAAACTTTCCACATAGCAATATTTATATATCGAACTTTAATTAAGAAACTTCCACAATTTTTTTAAAAAAAAAAATGAACTTATATCGTACCCGAAAGGAATAAAACTTTACACGTCGTATTAATTATATAGCCAATATTAAATCACTTCTTTTGGTTTCTAACACACTAACTCTTCAAAATTTAAAAATGACTTTCCTATTTCAAACTTTTCGTACACTCGAAGTAAGATTTTTAAAAACTACCTTATATAAGCTTTTAAATTAGAACTTTCTTCTAAAAATCTCTCACACAATAGCGATCCTCATACCCGAGATAGTTGTAGATTTAAAGACTACTCAAAGTGGACTTTTGAGGAAAAATATCTAACAAATAAATGAGGATATTCTAAGAATATTTTTTAAAATGAAAATAGGTTTCAGGGACCCTTTGACCAATAAATGTGGATTTTTAAGAATATTTTCTCAAGGAATTTCTGAACAATGAATGTGGACTTTCTAAGACTAACAAATGAACGTGATTTAAAAAAAATGTTTTCAAGGATCCTCTGGCAACTAAATGGATTAACAAGTAAAAATGCAGTAAGTTTGGGCGAGTCGAACTTTGAATACCCTCCACCATTTGGAACAAATTCGAAAATTTTAAAAAACTTAACATTTGCAAAAGATTCAGTTAAAATCTTAAAAATACCGAATATAGCCGTTATATAGGGGTTTATACGAAGACGTGGACCTGCATAGGCAAGTATTGTCATAAGCTGTTACAATAAAAAATACGAAACATGAAAAAATCCGGTGAATAATGTACCTAAAATCATCAAAACACCGTATATAGGGAGTTACTGATATATGGGGAGTGTACGAAGGCCTGGACCTGCATAGACAATTTTCTGTCATAGACTGTAGTTCCCATTACGAACTCTAAATAAGTAATTTGTAACAATTCTGGTGAATAATGACGCTAAAATCATCAAAATACCGAATATTGGGAGGTACCTTTATATGGGGGATTTACGATGACGTGGATCTGCACACACAATTTTCTGTCATAGGCTGTAGTATCCACTACGAACTTCAAATACCAAATTTGAAACAATTCTGGTGAATAATGACGCTAAACTCATCAAAATATCGGATATCGTGGGGTACCGTTATATGGGGGCTATACAAAGACTTGGGCATGCACAGACAATTTTCTGTCATAGGCTGTATCAGCCACTTCGGACATAAAATACCAAATTTGAAACAATTCCGGTGAATAATGTCGCTAAAATTATACCGAAAATATGGGGGCTTTACGATGACGTGGATCTGCACAGACAATTTTCTGTCATAAGCTGTAGTATCCACTACGAACTTCAAATACCAAATTTGAAACAATTCCGTTAAATAATGTCGCTAAACTCATCCAAATACCGAATATCGGGAGGTACCGATTTATGGGGGCTATACGAAGACATGCACCTGCATAAGCGTTTTTTGTCATAGTCTATAGTACCCATTACAAATTAAAGGTACGAAATTTGAAACAATTCCGGTGAATGACGTCCCTAAAATCACCAAGTATCGAATATCGGGTATGGATTTTTAGACATTCATTGAAAAATGTTGCTAAAATCGACAAAATACCGAATGTAGGAAGGTACCGTTGGGATATACGATATCGTGGGCCTATATAGACAATACTCTTCCAGGGGGTAAAGTACTCAGAAGGAAATCCTTTTGTGGATTTTCAGACAATTTCATTGAAAAATTTAGCTAAAATCATCAAAATACCGAATATAGAGAGGTACCGTTATATGGTGGGTATACGATATCGCATATACTTATAAAACAATTCTCTTCCAGGGGTAAAGTACTCAAAAGGAACTCCTTATATTTATTTTCAGACAACTTCATTGAAAAATGTGGCTAAAATCATCGAAATACCGAATATCGGGGAGTACCGTTATATGGGGCTATACAATATCTTGGACCTATAAAAAAATTCTCTTCCAGGGACTAAAGTACTGGCAAGGAACTCCTTGTGTTAATTTTAAGAAAATTCTATTGAAGAATGTGGATGAAATCATCATAATACCGAATATCGGAGGGTACGGTTGTATGGGAGCTGTACGATATCGTGGACCGATATAGCCCATCTTCGTTTTGACTCTAGCGTGATTACAACAGACAGACGGACGGACAGGGCTAAATCGTCTTAGAATTTTACGCTGATGAAAAATATATACTTTGTTATGTCTAAAGTGATTATTTCGATGTGTTACAAATGCAATGACGAACTGAATTGATTTTTTTTTTAAGTTCGGAATCGTTAGTACATCCTATGACAAAAAAATACTTATGCAGAACCATGTCTTCGTAAATCCCCCATATAAAGGTTTTCATTTGAGTGGTATTTTTCGTCTATGTGTTGGGGGTATTATAAGTTTGATTGGGCCAAAAATTATGTAACACCACCAAATATTGGTTTCCCACATAGAAAAGTATATTTGGATCTTCCTAGCTCGCCGAGCTGAGTCGATCTAGCTATGTATGTCCGTCCATCCGTCTGTCCGTCTGTCCACGTTAATTTGTAATCACTCTACAGGTCGCAATTATGGTCCGATCTTCACGAAATTTCGAATGGAGGTGGGGCTAGGGTCAGAATAGAACCCTATTTCTTTTGGAGATGATTGCATAATATTTATTCCTGTATTAATAAAAAATTCCTGATTTTGCAGTTGCTCTACAGGTCGCAATTATAGACCAATCAAAGCGGAAGTTAGCATGGGCTTAGAGCTTAGGGCTGGGCAGAAGCCTTCCAATTTTGATGGTCATCGGGTAATATTTAGTGGGTGAAATAGGCCATTTCAACATTTGTGTTAAATAAAAGTCAAATTTTCCATTAAACCGCAAATATTTTTAATCCCGGCGAAATCACAAATAGACGAACAGGTCAATTCTGACCGGTAAGTAGACGCCGATAGTAAATATATCAGATATATATATAGCGAAATATATACAATGTGTATAAAAAAAGGAAGGGGATGTTAGCTAAAATGCTTATATTTCAAGAATGGTTAAACCGATTTTGACAAATTTTGTCAATTCAGATTGCTCTCCTGTCATAAAAGTATAAAATCTAAAAAAATCGCAGAAAAATATGTCAATAATCATGTTAATTTAGATTTTGTAGTATTTTGTGACATTTTTTTATATTTTCATATTTTTTATCGCATGCGATTTTTTTCAATTTGACTTATAATATTAAGGTGTATATTTTGTAATATTTCTTCACCTCACAAGACAGGTTAGGGATATTATATAAGTATTGCAAATATCGTCCGACCCTCAGAAAATTTTCACAAGGGTAGGGTTGGGCTCAGAAGATGTCCGCAATTGAAATTAAACAACTAAAATTTTTCCTGATTTTGCAGTCGTTATAAAGGTCACAAATAGAAACCAAAGGACACGAAAAATGGACCACTAATTTTGTGTGAAAAAATACCAGCATTACTTACTGGTGATATCCGAAATACACAAAAGGCAAACTTCTGTCTAAATTTGGAGATACGGAGGGGGCTTCTTGCTTTTGGAGATGATTGCAAAATATTTAGGGGTTCAAATTAACCAAAATAGAAATGTTTTTCCGATCACACAATTCAAGCCAATCGACACGCCTGTGAAGAGAGTTAAGGACAGGGAAGAATTCTAGCATTTTGAATGACCATTGGATTATATTTAGCTGTAAAATGGACTACAATAACTAACAGCCCGACGGAGTGCAGGAATATTGGGCAAATGTCCCTATTCAAAATTCTAATTTCAAAAGCGAAATCTTCCAATATGGATTTGGACATAAGGGGGCTTTTAACTTATTGTAGTGTTGTAGGGTATAATATAGTCGGTCCCGCACGACTATAGCCTTTGCTTACTTGTTTTCTTTTTGGGTAAAGGTTTCTGGATTTTCTTCAAGACTGTTTTTTAAGATTGTTTTATTAGCATGTTTTACGAATTTTTTCAAGAGCTAGTGGATTTTCAGAGAATTCAAGATCCAAGAATGTAAAAATTTTTTTCAACGGCTTCTTATTGTTTTTTTGTAGAATTTGTCAATGACGAAGAAGTGAGCTGTCGTCCGCTCTCTCCTGCAACTCCTTCACAAACAGTCCTAATTAAAATAACATATTTCCCCTAAATTTGGAATTTCCTACCTTCCCAACTTGTGTTCAATGACTAATGGCTTTGACATACAAATGTCAACCTTTTTCTGATAATTACTGGTAACTGAACATTCTAAATATTGTATATAATCAACAATAAATTTTTTTCATAGAATATTCAATACTTTCAATTGTTGTTTGATAGCGTTTCATTCACGCTTCTGTTTATCCAGCTGACTTAATCACCCAATTTAAAACATTTTTAATTGTGTTTGGAAAATATTTACATTGTTTGAACATTTCTATTATTCCATTATGAATAAATTCTTAAAGATATAGAAAAACCTTGACACTTTCAATTTTTAACAAACGTAGTAAAGTCATTCGATCAAAATGTATTTTTCGCAAATTTTAATTTCCATTGGCGGTAAATAAGCTTGCTAATTAATTTTCTATTACATTGATAATATATAAATTTTTGAATTACAATTAATTGAAATATATTCAAATTTGCACCATTATTTTCAATAAATTTGAATCAAATTTTAATTTTTTCTAGTTTCCCTACTCTTAAATCAATTTGCTGTGGCATTACCCATCCAGGAATGTGCCGATTGTGAGGCGAGTGTATTTCTTCATTTATTCGACACCTTCGATGATCACAAAAGCTGTTGGGAACACACCGAAATTCCATTTATTGCCAAACTTCAAATGGTGGCCTTAGAGGAGATGATCACCAATTTTGGAGTATTGAATGAATCGATTAATGAATTGGTGCCCGCAGAATGTCGCACCGAGGTACAATTAAAGGAATGCGATGAAACCGCAGAGCAGGAGGAACAAGAAGAGTGTCTGATGGAGAATCTAAAGACCTTGATTTACAACTATCGCGATCAGGAACTCTGCTACGGTGAACCCTTCGATTTTGAAATGAAAGAGTTGTTGCGCCGGCAAATGATGGGCTTCTCAAGCTCGTTGTCAGAAATTTTACCCGAGTGTATATAAATTAAATATTCAAAAAATTGTTTCAGGTAACTCTAAAATAAATAAAGAATATTTTTGAAAGTGTCATAAATTGTGGTTTTATACCAACACTATGTGTTGGGCTAGCTATATATGTCCGTCCGTCCAAATTTGTAATCACGCTACAGGTCGCAAATGACCCGATCCTTACGAAACAAATTCCCCCGAGCAATATATTATGGTGTTGTAAAGTACCACATGGTCGTCCCCGCTATAAACGTGTATTTTTTTCATAAAATTTCTTCAGGAGCATCATGAACGTGGATTTTTTAAAGAAAATGTTTTCAAGCTCCCTCAGAACAATAAACGTGGATTTTAAAAAAAAACTATTTTTCAAACTCCATCAGAACTAAAAACGTGGATTTTTTTAAAGAGCCTTTTTTCAAGCCCCATCAGAACTATAAACGTGGATTTTTTAAAGAAAATTTTTTCAAGCTCCCTCAGAACTATAAACGTGGATTTTTTTAAAGAACATTTTTTCAAGCGCCCTCAGAACTATAAACATGGATTTTTTAAATAATATTTTTTTAAGCTCCATCAGAACTATAAACGTGGATTTTTTAAATAATATTTTTTTAAGCTCCATCAGAACTATAAAAGTGGATTTTTTAAAGAAAATTTTTTCAAGCTCCCTCAGAACTATAAACGTGGATTTTTTAAAGAACATTTTTTCAAGCGCCATCAGAACTATAAACATGGATTTTCTGAAGAACATTTTTTCAGGACCATCAGAACTATAAACTTGGATTTTTTTAAAGAAAATTTAAGTGTGGATTTTTTAAAGAACATTTAAGCTCCATCAGAACTATAAATGTGGATTTTTTAAATAATATTTTTTTAAGCTCCATCAGAACAAAAAACCTGGATTTTTTAAAGAACATTTTTTCAAGATCCATCAGAACTATAAACGTGGATTTTTTAAAGAACATTTTTTCAAGCGCCATCAGAACTAAAAACGTGGATTTTTTAAAGAAAAAATTTTCAAGCTCTATCAGAACTATAAACGTGGATTTTTTAAAGAAAATTTTTTGAAGCTCTATCAGAACTATAAACGTGGATTTTTTAAAGAAAATTTTTTCAAGCGCCATCAGAACTAAAAACGTGGATTTTTTAAAGAACTTTTTTTCAAGATCTATCAGAACTATATACGTAGATTTTTTAAAGAAAAATTTTTGAAGCTCTATCAGAACTATAAACGTGGATTTTTTAAAGAACATTTTTTCAAGCGCCATCAGAACTAAAAACGTGGATTTTTTAAAGAACATTTTTTCAAGATCTATCAGAACTATAGACGTGGATTTTTTAAAGAAAAATTTTTGAAGCTCTATCAGAACTATAAACGTGGATTTTTTAAAGAACATTTTTTCAAGCGCCATCAGAACTAAAAACGTGGATTTTTTAAAGAACATTTTTCAAGCTCCATCAGAACTATAAACGTGGATTTTTTAGAGAACATTTTTTTAAGCTCCATCAGAACTATAAACGTGGATTTTTTAAATAATATTTTTTACAGAACCTTCTGATGGATTTTTTGTAGAAACATTTTTCAGGACCATCAGAACTGTGGATTTTTTGTAGAAACATTTTTCAGGACCATCAGAACTGTGGATTTTTTGTAGAAACATTTTTCAGGACCATAAGAACTGTAGATTTTTTATAGAAACATTTTTCAGGACCATCAGAACTATAAACGTGGATATTTTGAAGAAAAAATTGTCAGGACCATCAGATCTATAAACGTGGATTTTTTAAAGAAAAAATTTTCAGGACCCTCAGAGCTATAAAATTAAATTTTTAAAGAACATTTTTTTTCAAAACCATCAGAGCTATAAACGTGCTTTTTTTTAAGAAGAAAATTTCGGGACTATCAAAGCTATAAACGCGGATTTTTAAAGAAATTTTTTTCAGGAACATCAGAGATATACGTTTATTTTTAAAAAATAATTTTCAGGATCATCAGAGCTATAAACGAGGATTTTTTAACACACTTATTTCAGGACTATCAAAGCTATAAAGGTGGAACATTTAAACAAATTTTTTTTCAGGACCATCAGAGCTATAAACGTGGACCTTCAAACACACAAATTTTTCAAGACCATCAGAGCTATAAAATGAATTATTTAAAGAATTTTTTTTTTATTTCAGGACTATCAGAGCTATAAAATGATTTTTTAAAGTATTTTTTCAGGACCATCAGAGCTATAAAATGAATCGTTTAAAGAATATCAGAGCTATAAGCGTGGATTTTCAAATAAATTTTTTTCAGGACCATCAGAGCTATAAGCTTGGATTTTAAAAGATATTTTTTCTTAAAAAACTGTAAACTTGAAATTTTTGGAGAATATTTTTTCCGGAGCATCGGTAATATAAACAATGATTTTTTACAGAAACACCATCAGACTTTTAAGAATATATTTCAAATTCGAGTATCACCATAGGTATGAACGTGGATTTTATATTTTTAACTATGTTCAAGCTCTTTAAGGATTACAAACCTTGTTTTCTTTAAAAACATTTAATTTGTATTATCCAGAATCAAGTAATAAATTATTTCAATCGAAACCAATTTCATGGTCTTCAAGCTTGTTATATCCGGAATTTTTAAATAATGGAGTCACGATTTGTTATTTTCTTTTCATGCCAGTTGCAGAGGCAGAAACGCTTGTCAAACTCGGGCACACACACATTTTCTAAGATTAATGGCTTTAATCAATTTCACCTAGTCAACAGCGTCATCAAATTCATAGCCGCTAATCAAATATGCGAATATTTGTGGCTGCCAGCAGGGGATACTCCTTTCATTAATATCACAGCCAATTAAATTTAAATTTCCATGTTGTCTTAATGTCTTTGCGAGGGGTGGATAAAAAGTGAGGAGAGGATTGGGATGATAAGCTGTCCAAGACATATTAATATTTTAAAAACACGTTAAAAAATTAGGTTTTTTGGAATTTTAAGGAATTCGCCATTATTCTTATCAGGTATTATTTAGAGGATTTCTCTTAGAAATAATTCACCGATATTTGTCCTCCACATCAATTAAAAAGATTGGGTTTTAAGATATCTGATTTCTCAGATTCTTCCCTTAAATTTCCCCCCATTGTTGCACCACTCGCCCTCCTAAGCAGAATGCCATCTTACACAGCCTCTGAATCTGAATTATATGTAAATTCAAGTATTTTGTATTCCTATCATAACATGTCCGATAGAAGTTTAACCAGCTGCTGCAATGTCTACATGTATGCCAGTGTGTGTGTGTGTTTTTACAATTGTCCATGCAAAAATCGTATCGCAATGAAAATTTAAGAAAAAAAAATGTTGTTGACATGTTGATCGACATTTTTACGGCACACCCCCTAAAAATAATAATTATGCAGTAAATAGCCCCATACCAGCGGCAGCACCTCCACCTCCATCATAATCTCCAGTTCCGTTCAGGCTGCAGCCAGTGACAGTGACAGTAGTAAACGAGTCATTTATTTGCAATCATGTAATCACCCAACCAGACACACGCACACATACACTGTGGCATGCAAATAATCTTAAATTGTTCGGTGTTCAGATAACGTTTTGCCAACAAATTGCAGTTGCACCAGCCGCAACAGAAACAGAAACACTTCAGGTGTAAATACATTGTAAGCTGGACAAAGACAATGGCAGAGAAAATAATGTCTTGAGATAAGAAGGGATAATATTTTGAAGTGGAAAGTTTGTGGCTTAAGTCTTTTGTTTGCAAGCATATGACAGGAAATAAAAGTGTAATATTTACAATACCTTTATGTATTCAATTATCGTTTGTTGAAAGATACAGATAGGGCCTTTGAAATGACAACTAGTGGGGCTAACGTTTTGTGGGGACTATTCCCAAACCTAGAGCTGCACTGTTTGAGAGTTCTCAAAATATTAAATTACGTACAACGCCACGAGATCTTGAAAATGCTTGCAATCGACCGGGGTACTATATGGAGATTATAACTCAATGTGAACCGATATTAAAAAATATTCATTGGCAGGATTGGCAGGATGCCATAATTTAGGGCTGCGAAATACCGAATATCAGTAGGGGCCGTTATATGAGGGCTATACCAAATTTTGGACTCATATTGAGGTGATATTCAAAATACAAATTTTAATTCATTTGATTGGAAATTATGACTGAAGCCTACAAACTACGCAAAGTCATAATATGGGTGCTTTACCTGAACATGGATCGATAAATACCATTTTTCAGTAATCATCATCCTAAGAATAAAATTAATGTCTCAGCAAAGATCAAGCCTTCCCTTGAGTATTGTGTGTTGTATTGTGACTCCAAAACACGAAAGGAAAGATAATATTTTACAGGGTGAGATAAAAAAACTGAAATAAAGTCATAATTTTTAATTTTTTTTTTAAATGTTATTGAATGAAAGCAAAAGTGGTGTAGCATCAAAATTTAGAATAAGTTTAGATTTGTTCGAATTGGTCACCTTTGGCACGAATTATGGCCTTCAAACGGCCAATAAAACTGTCACACACTGCTCGAATGTTGCTTTGCGGTATTTTGTCCCATTCTCAGCGAAGCGCTTGCTTGTGGTGATCGACACTTTGGTATTTTTAGGGCCAACCTTGCTTTCCAAAATACACCAGATACATTTGCTGGCCACCAGAAATCAAGCGGCGGCCATGGTGATGTTGTGGGCCGCCATACCAGACGATGGTCGCTTTTCGTTCGTATTAATCGACCGTGGTATCAGAATAAATGCCGAATATTATAGCGAAATTATTCTGGAGGGTGTTAAAGCTTTAGGCACTCAAACATTTTGGCCGCAGACCTTGGACATTCCAACAGGACTCAGCACCATCGCACTCAGCACGCTCCACCCAAAAATGGTTAGAAAATGAGGTTCCTCGCTTCATTTCCAGCTCACAATGGCCACCAAAATCTCCGGATACCAATCCGTTGGACTTTTGTGTCTGGAGTTTTTTGAAAAGTAAGGTTGGCACTAAAAAATACCAAAGTATCGATCACCTCAAGCAACCGCTTCGCCGGGAATGGGCCAAA